GGGAAGACCAGAGACAAGGACACGGGAAGCCATGCTCCGAAGACGAGCCAAGGAGGGGTGGCCTAGACGGTGGTGCCACAGGAGAGTCTCGTGAGACAGGAGGCGACAGGAACAGGGGGCAGACTCAGGACCTGACCGGGACGCAGCAGCAAACACCTGACCTGATGCAGCTACCTGACCAGACGCAGGGACAGGAGGAGACGAAGTGGTCAGGGTGTAGAGACTCGACCCCGGCCGACGCGAAAAGGTGGCCAGGTGTCGGCCTGTGTCTGCGTCCGTGCAGTGGGTCACCCGCCGCCTCGCAGGAGTGAACTGGTGAACCCCCGCATCCTGTAGGTCCGCACCACTCACCAAGTTCGTAGAGAACGAGGGAAGGTACAGACCAGACAGGGTGCCCGAAGGGGCAGCCGGACACGGGAGGACAGTGGAGAAGTGAGACAGGACAGGACCCCCAGAGGGGTCAGCAAGGGAGACCGCAACCGGCCGGCCAAGCGGCGTGAGGGTAGTGCGGTCTCGAAAGAAGGAGCGAGAAGCCCCAGAGTCAAGTGTGAAAGTGAGGGAGGACGAGGGCGACGCAGTACCTGAGAGCGCAGTCTCACCAGCACCTGAGAGCGCAGTCTCACTAGTACCTGAGAGCGCAGACGCACTGGCACCTAGAGCAGCAGCCTCACAAGTACCTAGCGCAGCAGTACCAATGCCCGGGTCGGGCTGGAAACACCGGTAACCCTCATTCTCCTCACTATAAGTCACAGCATACATAGCAGAAAGGATAGCATCAAAATCAAGATCAAAGATCGCTACACCAGCCCTAAGGAGCTCATCCCAGCGAGGGATCTCACTAGCCCCGGGGAACTGCTGACGCCAAGCGTCCGTCAGGCGGCCAAAGCAGCGCTGGGTGGAGTGGGCACCCCCACACTGCTCACCCGCGCGGTCGCCGGAACGAAGAACGTAGGCGCAGGGACCAGTACCCCCACCCCTCTGACGCGCAGCGTACCACTCACGAAGCTGCTGAGGCGGGGGGATGTCCCGCGAACGCTGCTGCTGCTGCCGCTGCGAGCGCTGGCCACCACCACCGCTGCTCCGCTGCTGGGTACCACCACGACCAGCTCCACCTCCTCCACCACCACCGCCTCCTCCGCCGCCGCCTCCACTGCCTCCACCTCCACCGCCTCCACCGGCGCCGCTGCCTCCACTACCACCACTGCCACCACCACCACCGTCTCCGCTGCTGCTGCCACCACCACCACCACCACCACCACTACTCCCGCCGCCACCCCCACTCCCTCCGCCGCCTCCGCCGCCACCGCCACCGCCCCCTCCAGCTCCGCCCGCGCCCTTGCCCCCCTTGCCCTTGCTAGAGCGACGTCTCCCACTAGGGGCAGACGCCGCGCCGACCGACTCAAGACCAAGCAGGTCGGCCGCAGCAGCAGAGGCAACAGAGGGCAGCAAGGGGGAAGGAGAGCACCCCTCAAAGATGGGGGTGCGAGGGTCACCACGAGAGGCACCTACAGCGACTATGCTCTTCTCCGCTGCAAGGAGGGCCTTCTCGAGGAGGTCGACGGTAAGAGTGGTGGGACAGACTGCGAGAAAGTGGTCCCTGACTACGAGGAGGGAGTCAGGGAGGCGCGCGACTACGTAGTAGAGAGTGATGTAAATGGGGGGGGGGGTTCTTAGCACAGAACTCAGCAGGAAGGGCGGCGCGGTAGCGAGTGTCACTAGTGCGGAGGTGCGTAATGAGGTCAGCGACAGTGGGAAAGGCAGAGAGGTCAGGAAAGAGGTAGGGAAGCATGAGACGGCTCAGTGCAGCAGTGGCAGGGGAGGAGTAGCGCGCAACTACAGCGTCGTACAAGGTCTGAGCACTCTTGTACTGACTAAAGTGCGCACGCTCAGAGGTAGGGAGGTGGCGACGCACAGCAAGACGTGCAGCAGCATCGCGGGTGGCCCACTGAGAGCGGACAGTGGGATCAGCATCAGCAGCAGGAGCAGGAGAGGCGCCAGAGGTGAGGTCAAAGAGAGAAAGGCTGTCAGCACTGTTGCACTGTAAGAACAGCTGCAGGTCGTCTAACCAGACCTCAAAATCAATGGCACGGCCCTCAGCGTCAAAATCTAGGACACTAGGGGTAGCCATGGCGACGACAGCGAAGCAGTGCAAGCGGTAGGGGGGAGAGCACGCAGTGACAGTGGGACTGTGCTCACCAGGAAGGGCAGGTCGTGCAGCTCGAAAGGAAGGCAGCACTGTGACCGGGCGGCTCGGGTGCACAGCGGCTCGGCTCCCGGGCGGCTCGGCTGCAGGGCGGCTCGGGTACCGGGCGGCTCGGCGTAGGGCGGCTCGGCTGCTGCTGAGCGGCTCGGCTGCTGCTGGGCGGCTCGGCTGCTGCTGGGCGGTCCGGCTGCTGCTGGGCGGCTCGGCCGCAGTGTAGTGGCGGGGCCGGAACAAGGGACGGCGGGGCCGTCAGGGTGCAGCGGCGGGGCCGGGACAGGGGACGGCGGAGCCGTCAGGGTGCAGCGGCGGGGCCGGGACAGGGGACGGCGGGGCCGTCAGGGTGCAGCGGCGGGCCGGGACAGGTGCAGCGGCGGGCCCGGACAGGTGCAGCGGCGGGCCGGGACAGGTGCAGCGGCGGGCCGGGACAGGTGCAGCGGCGGGCCGGGACAGGTGCAACGGCGGGCCGGGACAGGTGCAGCGGCGGGCCGGGACAGGTGCAGCGGCGGGCCGAGACAGGTGCAGCGGCGGGCCGGGACAGGGGACGGCGGGACCGGGTGTGCAGTGGCGGGGCCAGCAGAGGTGCGTCGGCAGGGCCGGGACAGAAGCCGGCGGGGCCAGGATGGGTGCAGTGGCGGGCCGTCAGGGTGCAGCGGCGGGCCGTCAGAAGGTGCAGCGGCAGGGCCGTCAGGTCTCAGCGGCGGGCCGGGAAGGTGCAGCGGCGGGGCCTGGAGAGGGGACGGCGGGGTCGTGACAGGAAACGGCGGGGCCGTAAAAAAACGAACGGCGGGGCCGTCAAAAGCGGGGCCCGCGGCCGCGTGGCCGGTTCGAGGGCGGCGGGGCGCAGCCGGGCCGAGAGGGCGGCGCGGTGCGGCCGTAGGGCCCGCGCGACGTGGGCCCGAGCCGCGCGCGCTAAAAAAAAAATTGCGCGCGCGACTCGCGGGGGGCCCACGAGGGCAGCGCGGGACGCACTAAGGGGGGGGAGGGGGGGGGGGGAGCGCGCCTCGGGGAGAGTAGGGCGCTCCGGGCAGAGAGAAATTTGTGGGTGGGCCCTAAAAATTCGGTCCTTAAGAGGGACCCGCTCTATACCATGTGAAGTTAGGTAAACAGGAATGAATTGACTAAGTCAGGAATGAGTACAAATAGAAAACCTAATTGTGTTGTACCCCCTATGGGATACCCCACTGTAGCCTACACAAACAGGTAAGCTATATGTTCTGACACTTACGTTCCCGAAATTCTCAACACTCTTTCTCCTTCACTCCTACCAGACCTGGCGTTGGGGTTTGTGTTGGACGAGGACTCCTTCTCATCACAGGGTTTCAACTCCGCTTTCCACTACGCCAGTGCGGGCTTCGACCCCGCGTAGGAGAACAGCCCTGCGTGGACTGTCAAGTCCTACAGCACCTGGGTCTTGCCTGAATCCACTTGGCCTGTCAAGAACCAAAGGGGCTGTGGTGAGTCATATGGTCGCATGGCGTGAAGCGAACGGTAGGATAGCTGAAAGATTTATCTCAGAGTTGAGACTTGACACACTGCGCAAGGGAGAGGACAAGGTAAAAAAAACATGGCGCTTTCTAGAAAAAATAACGTAAAAAATGGTACCGTAAAAACTGGGCCGTAAAAAATGGCATAAAACGGTTCGAGGAGGCAATTTTTTGTTTGAAGCCCGAGCCGCGTCAAACACGAACCTGTTTGTGGAGGAAGTAGAGGAAGAGTGGGGGGATGACGAGGACGTCCAGTTTCTTCCTAGTCACCGACGACTAGCGGCACGTCTGTTGGCGAGTTATCTCGGAGTTGAGACTTGACACAGTGCGCAAGAGAGAGGACAAGGTAAAAAAAAATGGCCGCTTATTTAACGTAAAAAAGCTGTACCGTAAAAACCGGGCCGTAAAGAACGGCATAAAACGGTTCGATGAGGCAATTTTCTTTTAAAGCCTGAGCCGTGTCGAACACGAACCTGTTCGTGGAGGAAGTAGAGGAAGAGGGGGGGGATGACGAGGACCAGTTCCTTCCTAGTCGCCGACGACTATTGGCGCGTCTGTCGGCGACTTAGGCGGCGGCGAGGGGGGGGGGGAGGGGAGGGATGATGCAGGATTATGAGGTTAGCAGGCACTTGTCCGAGTGGGTGCGGGTGGATGTGACACCGCTAGAGTACTGGCGCACTGCCACAAACATGACAACGCTGCAGCGTATGGCAAGAGATTATCTTGCTATTCCAGCCACGTCTGCCGCGAGCGAGTTCATGTTCTCCCTGGGTCGTAACCTCATCTACTGAAAGAGACTCCGTCTGAACTCCGAGAGGGTGCGAGCTTCCATGATTTTAGGGTCTTCTCCTGATTGTTTCTTATCTATCCAACCCCTCCTAGTCCAATGTATTTAAATCTTTCTACCTTCCTTTCTAGGCAATCAATTATTCTCATGGTTGGACACTTACCAACATTTACACCGTGTTCTACTTCTTCCATTTCACTCACCATGTCCTTCCTATGCTCCCTGAGAACATTTGCACACCGCTTGTGCGTATCAACCAAGTTATTGGGTGGGAGTGATCACAGGGCATGTAACACCAAAGAACTTCACTTCACGTACCTTGTTGTGTCCCACTCCGCCATAGGGGCCTTGTACATGTCTCTTGAACACTTTTGTAGAAGCTATCTTGACAACAACCTGCTAGAAACCGTTAAACTTATACTATGATCACACAAGAGCGCACGACTCTCATCACATTGCGTCCTTAACATGCTGTCCACGTGATTGTTGGGCGTACGCAGTGGTAGCAGCGGTAGAGGCAGCCTACATGATTGCAAGCAACTGGCCACAGCCTCCCATCCTGTCGGTGGACCAACTTCGCCTCGCCCTCTCCTCCATATGCGACGGTGGCTCGCCCAGCAAGGCGCTGCAGTTCCTCCTCAATGCCACCGCCCAGGGCAAGGGCTTGATGGAGCATGTGGTGTACTCTCAGCAAATGGCTTTTAAAGGAAGATCGTTGGTGAGCTCATTTGCTATTTAAGTTATGTATTAAATTCAGGTGTTGTTGCTAGTAACTCCTGTTGGTGGGTCGCCGTTACGATATTGTGATCCATATTTTCTGTCCCTAATCGCTGACTTTCTCCGTAATCCTCGCCCCTACCTACAGGCCAGCACCAAGTACTATGGCATCCGGGGCATCGAGCGCACATGGTTCTACGAGTGGTTTGGGCTCATGCTGGCAGTGCAGCGCCAACCTGTCATTCTGCACATCGAGGCGTCCACTCCCTCCTTCCAAGGCTACGATGGGGTAAGGCACCCTCCTTCCAAGACTACGATGGGGTAAGGCACCCTCCTTCCAAGACTACGATGGGGTAAGGCACCCTCCTTCCAAGACTATGATGAAGACTTCGATGGGGTAAGGCAACCTCCTTCCAAGTCTACGATGGGGTAAGGCACCCTCCTTCCAAGACTTCGATGGGGTAAGGCACCCTCCTTCCAAGACTACAATGAGAAAAGGCACCCTCCTTCCAAGACTTCGATGGGGTAAGGCACTCTCCTTCCAAGACTTCGATGGGGTAAAGCACCCTCCTTATAAGACTACGATGATGGGGTAAGGCACCCTCCTTGCAAGACTAGGTGGGGTAAGGCACCCTCCTTCCAAGACTACGATAGGGTAAGCATTACAAACCCAAACTGAGAAGAAATGAGGACATTTCGTTATTACAAAATATCATAGTTTTGGAGGTTGGGTCGAGTTGGTACCTCACCCATTAATTCGTCCCCTATAGAGGAGATGGAGGAGCCAGACGAGTTGGGTGGGCTTTTAACCTCCGCTTGCTACCATACCATGTTGAGCTGCAAAATGGCCTTCGGAGTTTTGTAAGAAAAGGTTTATATTTGTACAAATAGGTGAGGTTGAGCAAAACCCGAACGTGTTAGGGTCGAACAAAAGCAGACTTGTTAAAGGGGCGCAAACATGTTCCTTTCGCCCGTACCATTTTTCATTCAAAGGTGTTTGTATGTTCGCCTGTTTTTGCGAAAACTTATGTGTTCGCCTTTTGGTTGTGTTTGTTGATAGCCACAGATCCGAAATCAGCCAAATCTTTCGGACCGGTTTTCGTGAAAAAAAACCAGCTTGCGAGTTTCGTTAAGAATTTTACGAAGCTCGTTACTATCTGCCCTTCTGAAGGCCGTTATAACTTTTCGTCATGCATCCGACGCGCTGTCGACTCCAATCCGATCACATTGTCAAAAACACAGTGCAACAGTCATCCGCGACGTCGCAAATATCTCCGAGTGACAAATGTGTGACGCCATCGCACACATTACCGACAAATGTGCGACATCGTCGCACGCATCTGGGCCACTGTAGCAACTGCAAATCTTCCACTTTCGATAAAGCGGCCATCTTTTCGGCCAATCAACCTGTCAAATTTGTCGACCCTACAATATGGGCCGTCGATCTGTCGACACACTGTGGGACGAATTAGTCGATGTTCGTAAAGGATTTGACGAGCGTATGGACGACGAATAAGCGGCTAAATCACCACTTCGCGGATCTGACGCACCCTTAATAACTATGTGGTAAGGTAAGTATACAACATTCACGTAGCAGCTAGAGCATACAAGTACAGAAGGACACGGTCAAAACGTGTGCATCCTTGTTCAAGGGAACGACATTAAAAGCAACGCATCAGCCCGACCATGACATACAGGGCAAATATCAAGCATGCGAGTAGTCACAACAGTACACCACAACCCCAACATCCCATCCCCCTTGGCTAGCATCTCCCCTCCTCCACCTCATCAACCTCTTCCAGCCTTTCCTCCTGAAGTGCGAGTCTGGGCAATGGCATGCCCCTCACCTATCGGCCCTCCCCGAATTAAGAGTTATGCAAGCCCGCACGCGCTCAGAATGCAGTCAATGCTGCTTCCAGGGATCAAATTCAGCCCATGGAGAATTCGAGCTCGCAAATCACAGTTGGTTCAAGATGGCATGATAATTTCTTGCCATTTAACGGAACGTCGTCATGTCCTACCCATGGTGCCATGCCCGCAACATTGACACATCCAACCGCACCCGTTCTGCCGAGTACATATCCATCTCATCCTAAATTCCCCCTCGCAACTCGCCGCCTGGTTCGCCGACACGCGTACCATCAATTGCCTTCCGATGAGGGAAAACTTGTCCTTCTCGTCCTCCTCCTTCCTATCTCTGTTGCTAATGGTGTCGATGCAGGAGCCTCCCGTGCAGCTCGAGCCTAAGAGTCTACTACGCACTCTCGTACTAGGCGCACCACATCTTTTGACGTCGTTCCTTCTACTGTCTTGTGCCACCAACTATCAAACTTCTATGCTACAGTCTGTGTAGGCTGTAGTGGGGTACACAATACGGGGTACAACACTTTTAGGTTTTCATACTTGTACCCACCTGTTTTCTAGTGTATTCATTCCTTGTTCTTTCACATGGTATAGAGCAGGTTCCCTAGTGGGAACGTTTCCTAGGGCCCACCGAAAATCGAAAAAAAAAATTCCTGCCCGGAGCGCGCTTCGCCCCTGCCCAAGTCGCGCCCCGTGTGCCTGCCCTCCCGTCGCGTCCCCTGCCCTTAGTGGCCCGTCGCGCCCTCTCACAGCCCCTCGCGGCCCCTTAGCCGCTCCCTAGCGGCCCCTCTCACGGCCCCTCGCGGCCCCTTAGCCGCTCCCTTGCGGCCCCACTCACGGCCCCTCGCGGACCCTCTCTTACGGCCCCTCCCGGCCCCTTAGTCGGCCCCTCGCGGCCCCTCTCACGGCCCCTCGCGGCCCCTCCGCGGCCGTTTGCGGCCCCTCGCGGCCCCTCCGCGGCCGTTCGCAGCCCCTCGCGGCCCCTCTCCCGGCCCCTCGCGGCCCCTCTCACGGCCACTCGCGGCCCTGTCGCGGCCCCTCGCGGCCCCTCGTGGCTCGTCGCGGCTCGTCGCGGCCCCACCGCGGCCCCTCTCCAGGCCCCTCGTGGCCCCGTCGCGGCTCCCTTGCGGCCCCGTTGCGGCTCCCTCGTCGCCCCTCCACGCCGCGGCGCCCTGCCCTAGCCCGCGCCCTGGAGCAGCCGCCACTGCAGCAGCCGCCCCTGGAGCAGCCGCCCCTACTGCAGCCACGCCCTGGAGCAGCCGCCACTACAGCAGCCGCCCCTGGAGCAGCCGCCACTGCAGCAGCCGCCCCTGGAGCAGCCGCCCCTGGAGCAGCCGCCCCTGGAGCAGCCGCCACTGGAGCAGCCGCCCCTGGAGCAGCCGCCCCTGCAGCAGCCGCCCCTGAAGCAGCCGCCCCTGCTGCAGCCGCCCCTGGAGCAGCCGCCCCTGCAGCAGCCACGGAGCCCTCGCCCTGTAGTGGTAGCGGCCTCGCCGTTGCCGCCGTCGTCCGCCTGCCCTTCTCGCCACTGGTGAGCACTCCCCTGCCCCTACTGCTGTTACTGCTGCTCTTGCTGCTACAGCTCTTTCTACTGCTACTCCTGCTCCTGGCGTGGCCAAATGCAGCTTCAGCGCCGTCCACGTGAGTCCCTCGCCCCCCGACAGCTTCGTGAGTGGTACGCTAGTTGGGGTTGTAGGGGTGGCCGCGCTGCGACTACTGCTACTGCTTCTACTGCTACTACTGCAGCTACCACTGCTCCTCCTGCTCCTGGCTGTGGCCAGATGCAGCTCCAGCAACGTCCACGTGAGTCCCTCACGCCCAAGCAGCTTCGTGAGTGGTACACTACTTGGGGTTGTCGGGGTGGCCGTAGTGGGAGTCGTTCTGGCGTGAGGAGTTCGGGAGCTGCTTGTAGTGGCCAGGTGCAGCTTCCGCGTAGTCCGCGGGCGGTCCTTTCGCCCCAGCAGCTTCGTGAGTGGTACGCTCAGCGTGGAGGGTCACAGCGTGCTGCTCGCAGTCCGTACGTCATTCGCACTGGTGCTCGGACTGGTCAGCCTTGCCAGCACCTGGAGGAGCAGACGCACTAGCACCTAGAGCAGCAGCCGCACCAGCACTTAGAGCAGCAGCCTCAATGCCCGGGTCAGGCGGAACACACAGGTAACAGTCACCCACATCACTAGTAGGTAATGCATACATGGCAGTGAGGATAGCATCATAGTCAAGAGCATAGATATCTACCCTCTGCCTAAGCAGCTCCACCCAGTCGGCGAGCTCAGCGGCGTCGCCAAACTCCGTACGCCAGACATCGCTCAGACGGGCGAAGCAGCGCCTGCTGCCCCAGATGCTGGTGAGTCTGCTGCCCCAGGTGCTGGTGAGTCTGCACTCTCAGGTACCACGTCGTCTCAGGTTTTACACACCTTCACCCTTGACTCAGGTGGTTCCCGCTCCTTCTTTCGAGACCGCACCACACTCACGCCACTTAGTCGGCCGGTTGCAGTCTCCCTGGCAGACTCCTCTGGGGATCCCATCCTTGCCCACTTTTCCACTGTCTTACTGTGCCCGGCTGCCCCTTCTGGCTCCCTGTCAGGTCTTTACCTCCCCTTGTTCTCGACAAACTTGGTGAGTGGTGCTGACCTACAGGACGCAGGGGTTGGCCAGTTCACTCCTGCGCGTCAGCGAGTGACCCACTCTACGTGTGCTCGGACGGGCCGACACTTGGCCACGTTTACCCGTCAGCCGGGGTCGAGCCTGTACGCACTGACTACTGAGTCTCCTCAGGTAGCTGCGTCAAGTCAGGTGTTTGCTGCAGCGTCCAGGTCTGGTCCTGAGTCTGCCCCCTGCTCGTGTCGTCTCCTGTCTCACCAGACTCTCCTCTGGCACCACCGCCTTGGTCACCCCTCCCTGCCTCGTCTCCGAGGCATGGCCTCTCGTTTCCTTGTCTCGGGTCTCCCCCGGTCCCTCCCTTCTCTTCCTCCGGGGCCTGGCCCCACCTGCGTTCCCTGCGTCGAGGGGTGGTAGCGCGCCGCTCCTCACTCCTCCGAGTTTCCTCCGACAAAGGCTTCGCTACAGACGCTTCACGTGGACGTGTGGGGCCCAGCCCGCGTCCGTGGACAGGGTCACGAGCGTTACTTCCTGTTGGTGGTTGACGACTACTCGCGTTACACTGCAGTCTTCCCCTTGCGCAGCAAGGGTGAGGTCACTGAGGTGTTGAGCGACAGGATCCGCCCAGCTCATCTCCAGCTCAGAGAGAGTTTCGGCTCGGACTTTCCTGTCCTGCGTCTGCACTCCGACAGAGGCGGTGAGTTTTCCTCTGCCCTTCTGGGAGCCTTCTGTCGTGCATAGGGCATCCGCCAGACGTTCACGCTTCCGGCCTCTCCACAGCAAAATGGGATTGCTGAGCGCCGCATTGGTATGGTCATGGACGTCGCCCATTTTCTATGGCCGTTCGCGGTTCAGTACGCGGCGCAT